AGCGTCTACGTGACTTGCTTTCAGTACAGGGGCCAGTGAGAGTTCTTGGAGCATACTTGAAATAAATAAACGCCACTTTTAACAATCCAAGCTAGAGTGTAACGTGTAGCAATTATGAAAGCAATTTTAACGTTAATTAATTTTACCACATTACAAACAATATTTTACTTTGAAAGGATTTGTCATATCTACAACTAATAAACAAACCATTAATATAATTCTAATGAAACATATACCGATATATCAAGGTAGTGTTTTTCGATAAGCTATGAGGTACGAGTTTTTGGTTAATTATTGTATTGACACATTAAAAATATTCTTAGTTTTGCGGCGGGTTTGAAGATAAACATGACGTTACTCTAATCAAATTGCTTGTAATCCTGGTTAAATATGTGGTTTTAATATGACTATTAATGTAGCTATACACTTATCGTTCCACGCTTATCTCTGCATTAAGATTTGAGTTCAGCCGATATGTTGCATGCTACACAGTACAGTGTAATAAACATAATTTAAATTGTCATCGGTATGATATGGCATGCTCCGAGGTGGTGTATTCAAAGTCCCGTTACCCCCTTCCTGTGTTGACGGGGGTTCTCAACTATTTCCTTGGTATATTTACCATAAATATAACTTTGTGTTTATTTCAGCTACATTAGAGCATCAAGACCAGCCAAGTAAAGATCTTTACTGGTTTTAAACAAATCAGGGTGCAGCGTTGACATCTGTTTAATGGATTAGATATTCTACGATCAGGATGAACCATTGACATCTGTGAAACTGATTATATCAGATAAAGATGGCGATCAGTTTGAGACTGTCAACAAGCACGACGTTGTCGATTTCAGAGATTAGCAGCCAGTACCGATAGCAATGTCGGATGTTTTTGATTAACAAACTAAGGAGGAAGTTCACGCTGTTTCTTCAAGGTTGTTGTTTGTAAACAACCGTAGTCGTTGGCCATGCTGGACATTATCAGTACGTATACAACTGCCGACTTCAACACTTAATAATTGTGCAATTGTCACGTGACTCCTACACTCTACAACCAAAGCAGTACTGTGTGGCATTGAAACGATGTCGACAGAATATTTTGCAATTTGCAGGTATATCGTAAGTATCGAGTTGATACTACCAATGACCACCAGTCATTCAATTTGCCGAGGTAGTTTGCTGTGTGAACAAGTACTAACCTTGCTGTAGATCGGAGTTATTGAATCTACCGAACATAGTGTCTATCACTGTAATTAGGTATTTACTTGCATTTCTATAGACGAGACTATATGCCGGAGTTATTGACTGGTTATAAGGTGCAGTATTCATCATGTAAATACATATTCATTTATCAGTTTCTTATCTATATGTTCGTTGAGTCCTAATTTACTTGATGGTTGCCTGCAGTCCACTTACGGATGAATTGATGGAAATCACTGCACCATTATGTTTTCCTCAAACAATATGTATTTGTAAACATTACAGGTCTTTATAGTATAACGAAGAAAATATTATGATAAATGTATATTAAAGTAAAAAGGAAAATGTTATTTGTGATCCAAATTAATTGCCATGGATCGTCAAGCCTTAATTCTCTCATTTTAGTGTGAGACTGTTTTATTTTGTTACTTCATTGTCTTTTTTCAATTTTCATTATTCAACAATGCATTATGGGTAATGAGTATAATAATTATATGTGACTATTATGAATTTTCTTTACTTTACAAAATAAACACGTCTAATGTGAATTTTGTTGGCGCATAGTTTATTTCATCTGTGTACAATGTAGCCAAGTAAGCTTGGTCGTAGATAACCACTCACAAATATGAACAACAGTGCCTAAACCATAGAACCTCACCACGAACTGAGTCCGAAGAATCTGCTTATTTCGCTCCATTCTTCAATTGTGTCCAGTTTAATATGTTATGTAAAAGCAATCACGACAATAAAATCCATGTCCATGGCATTTAACTTTAACATTGACCGAACAATGAGTGTATTTAAAACGCGTTGATGATAGGTTGTATATCCTAGTGCTTATTTCGCATTATCAACAGGACGGGCCGGGACGGTATGGGATCGTGTCTCAACTGTGATATACATAGCGAGCGACACGTCATTAAGCATACTTCACATACCATATACATTTGTGAAATATATGAAAATCGGAAATATTATCGAGATTTAAATCAATTGTACGGAAAACACATCCCGTTTGACTTTGATGCCCGACATGTACATGAAGGCAATTAAAAACAGTTGGAAATAGAATCTTTGCCAATAGCATGATGGATCTCCTTCCTTTTTCACGGTTCTTTGTATTTTTTGACAGCAGATTTAACGAAATATACACCCGCAATTACCGTAAGTGAGTGGTGTAATACGACACGTCTTGCTAGCCCCTTAGCTTGTACTATTTCGTGTTCAACAACCTTTTCAACAAGCGCTTCTTTCCGTATCATATCAGACATGTTTTCTTTGCATATTGTATATTAGAGGTTTTCGGGACAGTAACAAAAAACTAAAATCTACAAAATCGCATATGTAATATTGAAGTGAAAATAGGTTTCGATATGTATCGGTTGGCTGGTTGGCCGGCTCCGACTTGGACGCGCCCAGACACTGTGTTGTGCAGACATGGAACAGGTTGAGTGTGACGTAGGCCACCCAGACGAATTCAAACACCGTCTCCTAGTTGAGGGGGAATCTCTAGACCCAAATATAACGATATTGTGCCTAATGAATGCCCAAATGGCACTCTTCCGTTAAAAGGAAGGCTTAATGCTTTATTTACATATTGGCAATGTAGCTCACCCACTTGTTTAAATCGTGTTCGCAACACTACTTACAACTTCAAATAAAAATTATAAAGTTTGCGCACTTGTGTGTTGTTGATTGTTGGCTGTACATGGTAGCTGTCACACTGCGCGTTTATTTACATGCATTCCTTTCTGACACTCGTCATATTTGCTATATTACAATAACAGTTATTGATATAGTGAAACCGTACGCCCTAATTATGACGCAGTTGCTCTGATAAATGTGTCGTACTTCTCACTTTCAAACCAAACAGAAAATTGTACAAGGTAGTTTGAGAGGGGCACAACCCCGGTAAGACAAAATTCCCCCAGAAAAAAATCCCGGCACTAAAATTTATCATGCAATCGACATTGTGTTTATAAACAGACAACACATTGCTTGGAAGCATTATAATATAATGTGACGTCACATACCAACTTGGTCTATTGCGAGAAATAAATTTATAATTTACATCACAACAATTGCTGTTTGTATTTTTTATTAAGTTTCTATATCAATATTGGTAACATAGTCCGCACTCGAGGTTTACAAGATGATCCTTTTCATATGTTTTGTAAAAATAAATAGCGATGATTTCCATGTTAAATTTTAGTAAATGGATTTTGCCCTCTTGGACTTGTTCTTACCTTCTGTGATCAGTATGATTGTTAGTTGTAGTACTATGCTGTTAGAACGGAGAGTTGTCCAGTGCGTTGTCGCCAGCACGACTGGTCCAATGAAATGCCCACGAGTCGTCGTCTTCCGCACAACTGTGGAATGCAACCAATTTTATCTCAGTTTACATTATTTTAAATGAATAGTGGCCACTAGTAAAACAAATTAAGTGATGTTTTTTTCGAATTAATGTATTTGATAGCAATTACACAGCTATGTAGAGGCAATGTACTGTGCTGACTAATAGTTGACTTTATGATTACGTTATTAGTGATTGTGTCGCTGAAGTGGAAGAGAGAGGCTTACCCCGACATATAATGATACTCTGACACATGGGAGGGAGTGTTGATACGGCAGTACGAGGGGATACTCTGACACATGGGAGGGGGTGTTGATACGGCAGTACGAGACACTCTGACACATGGGGGTATCTTGTCACATGGCGGATGTTGTTGGTAAAGCATTGAAGGCTGGCAGGTGTTTTGAGGGTCGGTGCAGTGTACGTATGAGTGAATGGACATCGTGTAGAACGGTAATCGTACTGCTTTCCCACAGGCGATGTTTATTGATATACTACAGTGTGAATGAAGGATAGGCCGTAGTAAAAGGCGGAACGGAATGCCGAGTGTTACACGCCAGCTGCCAGTTAGCTATGTCACCTTTAAAGTCCTGAAAAATAAACTTGACCGAGGGGTGGGGCGTGTATAAATGTAGATGCTATCATAGAATCCATGGTATCCATGGTGATATCCGTTCAGATCAAGCAATATACTAATGTTTATGTGTAGCCATTGTAATTTGAACAGTTACGTGAGACGTTAGTTGGTACACAGCCCCTCTATCTCCGGTCTGGAAACGACTAGCGTTCTTTTGTCTCGGACCGGGATAGAGGGGCTGTGCTTGGCCACAGCATACTTTCAATGGGATTATGTTCATATGACCATCATTGTAGATATTATCAGTATTTTCATAAATTTTTCAGCTTTCTTCAAGTCCACCAGAAACAAACAATCACGTGACCAATAACGTTTCATAACATCCTTCTTTGGATTTTGAAGTATAACATATCTATAAGTCAGCTTCTCCTTAGGGTCACGTGACGATCGACCAAAACGTTTTTGTCGTGTATATTTTCAAATCACCACTGGAGACGACGACTCGATGTTTTCATGTCATTTCGTTTTGTACGAAATAGATAAATACAACTGATTCATTGTCTACGAATTTGTAATAGTTTAACAAAATACTGTGCACAAGGGAAATTGCTTTCACAACTATTATTATTTGTGTTGGACTTGATTCTCGTCGTCTACGTTATATAATGGTCTTCTGAAAGCACGCTCCACTAACTGCACTGTCTGAGTGTGCATTGTAACAAACTATGGATCTTGAGACTTCTGTTTGCTCTCACGTTCCACGCATACCTTAACACGCTGTGGTATTTGTGGACTATATGCACTAGATACGATCTCCTCATTGTTTTGATAAAAAAAATCGTCCTCAATATCATTATATTCAGTATTTAGTACACAGATATTTATGAAATATAACTTGAGTAAATTAAAGACAAAATACAGTATATTAAACTAAATGAAATAAATAAATCAAATTAATCATCAAGAGGGACAGTTGAGTTGTCACCTAACAATTAATCCACTAGACGGACAGTTAAAATGTCACCTAACAATTAATCCACTACACGGACAGTTAAGATGTCACCTGGCAATCCACTAGAGGGACAGTTAAGTTGCCACCTGACAATTAATTCACGAGAGGGACAGTTAAGTTGTCACCTGACAATTAATCCACGAGAGGGACAGTTAAGTTGTCACCTAACAATTAATCCACTACACGGACAGTTAAGATGTCACCTGACAATTAATCCACTAGAGGGACAGTTAAGTTGTCACCTAACAATTAATCCACTACACGGACAGTTAAGATGTCACCTGACAATTAATCCACTAGAGGGACAGTTAAGTTGTCACCTGACAATTAATCAACTAGAAAGACAGTTAAGTTGTTACCTAACAATTAATCCACTAGAGGGACAGTTAAGATGTCACCTGACAATTAATCCACTAGAGGGACAGTTAAGTTGTTACCTGACAATTAATCCACTAGAGGGACAGTTAAGTTGTTACTTGACAATTAATCCACTAGACGGACAGTTAAGATGTCACCTGACAGTTAATCAACTAGACGGACAGTTAAGATGTCTTCCGACAATTAATCAACTAGAGGGACAGTTAAGTTGTCACCTGACAATTAATCCACTAGACGGACAGTTAAGATGTCACCTGACAGTTAATCAACTAGACGGACAGTTAAGATGTCTTCCGACAATTAATCCACGAGAGGGACAGTTAAGTTGTCACCTGACAATTAATCCACTAGACGGACAGTTAAGATGTCACCTGACAATTAATCCACTAGACGGATAGTTAAGTTGTCACCTGACAGTTAATCAACTAGAGGGACAGTTGAGGTGTCACCTGACAGTTAATCCGAAGGAGGGACAGTTGAGTTGTCACCTGACAATGAAGAGAGACAGTTAGAAGGGAAATATAAGAGTATACTGGACTTCATATTTTCATTGCTGGTTGACAGGATGTATATACGAAGTACAATAGCATGTCATGTGACCAAGGAGGACTTCAATAATCAGACACCACTGCATATAGAAATGTTACGCCTGACTTGGCGTGTCCTTTATGAAAATGATTGCCCACTGTGATCGCTGTGTGACATATTGTACGGTATTTGACATGCGTACAATTCATATATGTTTCTTTCCATCCCTATGATATGAACACCAATGTACATGTCATCTTTCATGTCTCATTTCATGCTGTGGAGCCGAATATTTGGTCGGTCTCACCCCGAGTCGCAGCCTGCCCGTGCTATCTTCGGATCTTGCTGGACGCATTTTGGTAACGTAACACTGGTAAAAGGCTAAATCATATGTTGTGAGCCAGCGCCGGAATCGCTTTGTGTTTCACCGGAGTTTATTAATTTTTCATTAAAAGAAGAACGGCATACTCTATGATGGATGTATAACATAATTAGTGAGTGACATTGACGAGTTAGACATTTAGGTTGTTCATAATATGGTTCACAACATTTTCTAATTCTTTATTTAATTTTAATTCTGTCTGCACGAGCGCTCTCCAGTCATGGGGGATCCGCGCCTGCAGAAATTATTCTAAAAATCTAGCCTATTGTGAGTTGAAAATACCACAAAGCTGGAAAATTACAAAAGTTAAAATCCACAGAGAAATCTACAAGTCAACAAGTGTAGATGTATGTGTATAAGAAGTGGTGTCCATATTTTGCGACAAGCGACGACCACAACTTATAGTGTGGTACATCATTCTGTATTTAATTCATTGGATATGTTGATTTTGTGGCTAGCGTCAACAAAGATTACAATATGCTGGGGTGCCGAATGCAAGTAACACTTTAATGTGATCTAGGTACATATGGGTGGTGCCGACGTAAGGAATGCAGGTGACACCTCAACGTAATTTAGGTATATATTGATGGTGCCGACGTATTACGTGCAAGTGACACTTTTACCTAATATAGGTACATATGGGTCGTACCGACGTAAAGAATGCAGGTGACACCTCAACGTAATCTTCGTATATATTGATGGTGCCCACGTATTACGTGCAAGTGACACTTTTACCTAATCTAGGTACATATGGGTCGTACCGACGTAAGGAATGCAGGTGACACCTCAACGTAATTTAGGTATATATTGATGGTGCCGACGTATTAGGTGTAAGTGACACTTTTACCTAATCTAGGTACATATGGGTCGTACCGACGTAAAAAATGCAGGTGACACCTCAACGTAATCTTCGTATATATTGATGGTGCCTACGTATTACGTGCAAGTGACACTTTTACCTAATCTAGGTACATATGGGTCGTACCGACGTAAGGAATGCAGGTGACACCTCAACGTAATTTAGGTATATATTGATGGTGCCGACGTATTAGGTGTAAGTGACACTTTTACCTAATCTAGGTACATTTGGGTGGTGTTTCTGTTTTTCACACAAACTGATACTTTGCAAGTATCACGAAACACACTTAACATGACGTCTGCACGTGAGCAAAAAGTCCTAACTTTTGTTTTCATACATTTGTTTTATTCGCTGACTCATTTGGAAATGATGTCACACGATTAAAGCGTTACTAGGTAACAATATTTACTCAGAATGCACGACATTTTTCCATATTTCTACATACACTATCTGGATGTGACGTCATATAAAATATGACACTGTCTGTGCCAGGTCAACATCCTGTTAGAATATTGTTTGCGTAACTCTGTATATTTTGATTTATTTTAAACAACTATCAAATCATTTATTTTACTTGTCCGGAATGGGCAAAGGTGTTTCAAGAAGTACAACACCGGAGTACAATTCGAATTTCTCCTACTGTATTTCATTTGCAAACCGTCACAGAAGATGTTCTTTTATATTTATTACAGATTGTACTGCAAATTAGGAATGCAATATGTTGACAAAAATCTACACGACCAACATAGATGTGCGTTCATATCAACTCGTAATTATATAGCTTTTGGCGACACTGATTGCCCAGCGGCATTTTGTCATACTTTGTCACGCGCCGCAGATGTTTAAGAAATGCTCACCATGTTGGGCCGTGCTATTGGGGATTGAACCATTTAACGCCATATGAGGTTTAGCCTCAATTCACCCATGATCACAAGCAGTGTTGATTAACTCACAGAAAATGTGACAATGTAGTCATCTACATTTTATAAATACTATCTGTCAATTAAAAAGAGGTTGTAGTCACGTAACTCATGTTCTAATTGATAATAATTGAGTTTAACTTTAATAAAAAGCATCGTGTTAAACAATTACATGAGGTCAAAGTTTGCCACACGCGATTTGAGACTCACCCATGTGTTCATATACCCTCTTCAGTAAGAACAATTCATGTTCAAGTTCCGGGTGAGACCCATCACCCGCTATGCTATTACAATATATGAAATATAGCAATATTAATTTGAGAGGTTGACCTACTGGCTGGTGTTATGTCGTCGATATACAAACTAACATTGCTATCACTTTCTTTGTTTTCACCATCTTCCCTGGCTGAACAGAAATGTGCGGTTGTTACTTTCCGTAATACTGTATTTCTTATTGTGATTATTGGTAAAAATCAAAATCAGCACCTCAATTAACTTTAATAAGAATATGTCTCATAAAATGTCAATTGAAATACAATTATCTGTCTGTCCTCCATTCTGCTCAGCCAGTGCAAATAGAACTATGCATGTTATTTCGGATTATATGGTATCACGCTTGAAGGTCAGACGGATGCATTTATGCGGAAAGACCATACTCAATATTATATTTATTTATTTATTTTAACAGGGTACCACTATTGGTGGATGGTCACCCTAATATTATTCAGTAATGAGGTTGTACATATGGTGTTCAAAGTTGTTACTCCAGTAAGGGCCTTGGTTACTGTATATTTGAACTTAGTTTTACTGTTTCGAAACGTTGCTAACTATATAATATATGTTCAAATGTTGTTTGGTCACGTGACAATAAACTGTACAGTTTTACAGCGTTCCATTTTTTCGTACGTCACAAACAAGTCACGGTGATTTGGGGTATTTGTTTACAGTGTCGTACAGTAAGTTCATACTCGATGCGTTGGCAAATATAACGGCTGTAATTAGGGCTGGTCTCTGTAAACAGTGAAAATTCAAATTGAGCGTCAAAACAATGATTTAAATATTTTTGGCAAACACGACTAAGCCTAGCGAGAGTTTTGGGGAACGTTGAATGAACGGATGCTTCTCAGCGAAGCTATTAGATAAAGCGGTTGACAGTGCCATAGTATAGCGGTAATAGCGGCGGCATATTTCCACTGAACAAATATAGAGCAAACAATGGCGTTTACCAGTTGTTGACTACATACTACCCTCAGTAAACTGTTGAAACGCCTCCTTCAAGTTTGAAAAAACACGTAGAAAACATGAGACATAGCGACCACTTTACTAAACAAACGAACGAGGCAAAGTGTTTTTGTCAACATAAATGTAATATACCATGTGTTAATAAAAAGTACACAACGTCCATGATATACCGATGCCCAGAGAGTCGGAAGTCACAATAATTCGACAAAATGTAGACAATTAAAAAAATCAAGAAAATAAAAAAAAATAATAAAAATAGATAGACATCCAACAACAAAAAACAAAACAAAAGACAAGCGCGTTTTTACAGACAAAATCAGAAAGTTGCGACAAAATACTAATGCCAGCACTACAACTGCCAATTCGTATGGTGTTTCATAGCAAAGATTTAGACAGCCGGTGATTGAAAAACCTTTGCTTATTAACATACAATTAGCATACACAGTTTAAAAAGTACCTTTCACGATTGAATGCGTCTATTTCCCCCCTTTTCTCTCATCGCCAAAACCCGTGGTGGATTATAACAAATGCCGCGGAAATTGCCTTCTCCCCGCTTTGTTGGCATGTTATAAATGACGCTGATACCTCTCGCCCTTGCCGTAAAAAACTAGTGGTTCTTGTTAAAGTAAAGCGTCTGTGCAACCCTACATCAGCGGGAACAAAGAAACCTAATATAAACAATTGTACTGGGGTGTTTATTACCGTCGACTTATGACAAATTTGTTCATTTCACCCACCGTAGTTGCAAAGGAGACGACATAGAGTCCGTGTGAGAGCTGTTGAAATACAAGTTTCACACAAGAGTACATGTACCGTTTGTTTGGTATCCATGTGTTTCAGGTTGCACACCATACATCGTAGTAGTTAAGTCGTCTTCTCAAATCGCATTCAAACAATATCAATAAACAATGTTTAACTGTCACCGAATTAATTATAAAATGATATTCATTCAGCAGAATTATTAGTAATAACTATTACGTTTTACACAACACTTAATTATTCTAGCACGCTGAATTCCAAGAGTGTGACTAACTGCTTTATTTTTTCGGTGTACAATTTCAAATTGACTTTAAACAGACCATTTCTATGTTTTCTATGTGTTACTTCAAAACATATTCATTTTAAATCGAAATATTAGAGGAAACGCGGAAAAATGGATAAAACGAGAAATCTACAACAGTGATACCATGCTCGCCCTGGGAAAATAAATATTTTGAACTCGACAACAGTACAATAGTCAGTAATGTATAAACACAACACCGTTCCAACTAATTTGAGAAAATCCATTGTACCAAAAAATCGTTTATTTTATTTTTTGTGATATGGGTGTATTCATGTAATTCTCATTGCTACATGAAGGTACACTTTTTCACTGCCAAATTGTAAGTAAGTTTTGTACCTGATATTGTTTTCTCTGAAACGTTCAATCAAAAAGTGAGAAGTGTCTTTTATAAGCAGAGTTGTAAA